GATGGCATTTTTAAAATGAAACTTTTTTCTACAGGTAGTTTTCAGAGTGTTATTAAGTATAGAGTATGGACTATAACTATTAATATTATATTACTACTTCGACTACTGTTCAAAAATAATGAAGAAACATAAAAAAATCTTTATTTTTATCCACCTTCACACTCAGTGGCGGGCGGTGGCTATCATATATCTCATGTGTAACGGCTGATAGATACATATACTTTACACTGAAGAAGTGTTCGAGTACCGGGTGAGTAAGTATCTAAAATGATTTTATTAATTTCAAAATACATCGTAAATAGATAATATCTGCCACTACGGTCACACTTATATACTTAATTACTCATCTYGTTTCTTTTACAAAACCAAATGCGAAAGTTTAAAATTCAACACACAATGTTCAATAAATTTCAAAAAACGAAGTAGTGTAAAAACCAATATAATCAAGATATCAGCGATGTGATTTTTGAATGACAATTTTTTTATGAAATTAAAACAAAAAAAAAAAAAATAACAAAAGAAAAGAAAAGTAATAAAAAATTAAATAGGTAGGCGCGTGAGTGTATATTTAACACGTAACTAAAAATATTCATAAATTAAACTTTTATTTATTTAAAAGAAATTCAGATAATATTATATATTTAAGTTAAAAATAAAATCAAACTATATTTTGAGTATTATACTTATTATATTAAAAAGACTGAAGCAATAATTTTATTTGGTCATTTTGGAGGTGTTTTTACTTCTTATCTATATCTTATATTATATAAATTCATAGGCAATTTTTAGCCATTATCTTAAAAGAAGTTTTGTGGTTCMTAAAATATTTTTTATTTTTAAGATTAGGTGTTGGATATTGATAGTTATATTATATCTACGTTTTATAGTAAACTACAGTTGTATCATTAATACTTGTGATAAAACCGACTTTAAATTAAAAAATATAAAACAATATTGTATAATATCTAATGCTGTTATCAATATAATATATAGAAGGTATTACATGTGGTAATAACACTATAGCACTCTGCCAATCAGTTGGGCTATCTACCTGCATATTTGAACAAAGCTTTTCCGCAAAGAAGCGTATATTCGTATTAATARGGCTAAGAATTGCATAGATTTAAAATCAATTCAACTAACTTCGTTCATCCCCATTCCTAAATATTAAAAAAAAAAATTTGTTGTATTGATAATAAAGACATTATTTTAAAAATGTACTGAAAATACTTRATAAGGCAATAATGCAATACAGTCATGTGACATTGTTGGTACTCATAATAATTATTTTTTTATAGATTAATAATTTAGTTTATATATTTTTTTAAATCTCGTATTATATCAAAATATAATACATGTAACTAAATAAATCTTAGTTTAACCATATTTAATTAAATTATAATATGTATCTGTTTTAATATAATAAATAAAAAAGAATACCTATAATACAAAATAATGTTATTTTTTGTAGATAATTAACAGCCCCTCCTCAATATCGTAYACTTACTTACTTGGTTAAGTTAACCTAACTTCTAATTAGCCCCTCATACAATACTTACATTGCATAGGCACAGAATGGGGTGGAAATAGGGGAATAGTATTTTGCGCCTATTTTATTACTTGTAATTTACGCCACGCAGAAAACGATATGGAATATTATGTAATCTGCGCCACAATTTCAACTTTAATTGTTAGAATTTACCATCAGATAAATTGATAAATATGCTGATATTATATCGCATCGGAAATACGATTATACATTAATACCAACGCGTGCCAGATATAATATTGTTGTGTTCTAGTTATAATAAGTAGATGCGAGATAGATTACGTCTAATTGGTTATCTTTTGTATAACAATATGTAATTTTTTTTTATGATAATTATTGTATTATGACAACTGATTGTTATATATTTTTTTTAAATATATAAAAAAATACATAACATAGGTACGTATTCTGATATACTTTTGTTTGTAATTATTTAATCTGTAAAAAATAATTGTTTAGTCATTTGAAAGTGGTGAAAATTACAATTTAATTATAACGGCAGATTACAAACTTAAACAGTGACACAAATTACATAAATATATATATTTTTTTTTTTTGGGGGGGGGAGGGTTGCTTTTGGTGCAAATTTCATACGTCCAGAATCGATAATTAAAAAAAAAATATGTTAATTAATCAAAATAAAAAATTATGTCAATAATGGTGATAATTATTATCGTTTTAAATTTTAATCAGTCACATCACAATTCAACTTTCGGTGTTTCGGATAACAAATTTATTTGAATTGCACTTCTTCGATTACACTTTTCTAAATATTTTTTTTTTCTTAAATTATGTCTATGCGGCTAGTATACACAGCTATTTATACATTCGTTGGTTTTCGATAGACGATTGATAAGAAAATAGAGTAATTTCTTTGTGGTTTTTTGTATTTTGAACGTGAAAGTAAAGAACTTACTTTTACTTATTTTTTTTTTTTAGGAACTGTTGGAGGGACCTCAGTATTTTATCTCCGATTAATGTATAATGCAAATTATTTACCTACCTATTAAATGTAATTTACTTCAATAATATCAAATTGATGGGTAGTTATGTACGTAATTTTGTTTATTTATTAATTTTACGAGCTGGGCCCTTTTGACAATAAACATAAGTGTTATATTACAGAACACGTTAGAAAAAATAATTATTAACAGAAAATAATAGTACTATACAATTGCAATGGGACTTAAATTAATGCTATTTTACTATCACAGTCCTTATAGATTTAAAACAATAAGAGATTTATATGAAATACGAATATATCTATACTTCTAAACCTATAATAAAATTTTAAGTTATTGAGCATTACATAAACAATATTCATATTACAATAATAATATATAACTGATTTTAATTCAAATATCTAGCATAAATAATTGACAATAAAATATATTCAAAAGAATATGCAACCATAAGAATACTAAATATTTAATAATAACAAATGCATAATATAACATAAATTAACTATATTATTAAGTAAGAATAAAATTCACATACCAAAACGTTTCTAATAAAATATACTTGATTTGGATTGCCAAAAAGTAATTATTTTTTCAAACGAATCTCCAAATTAATTACTAGTCTTTAAATCAAAAACACTCACACATTAAAAAACTCATCAATTTTATTTATTTTATTGTTATATATATGACTCTTTATATTTTCAACACAGGTATGCTTCAAAAGAAAGTCAATCTATTTATTTATAATTATTTTATGTATAGGTATTATTTTTTATATATATATATACATATATAATTTTAGAAGAAATACGTAAAATATAAATTATAAGTTATATAATATGATGTATGCATAAAATATTGAATTAAATCAGTTTAACTTATGTCTCAYGCTATGTAGAATGTTGACAGAAGTAAAAATAAATAAATATTATCTTCCCTTACCGTGTGTGAACAGGTTGATCTGATATCCATTAGGCGAGCAGCTAATGAAAAACAATCAACACAATATTTCGACTGACATCGTAATGAGTGCTAGAAGTCTGAAWGAAAATAAATTTCGAACCACACGACGATTAGCACCAGTAGTATTTGGAAAACAAACATGAAATCACGGATATACCGACACAACGACGGTAGTCGCACGCGCGCCGGCAACGTACGAATGCGCTTTTACGCGGCAACGTGTATGATCTCCGAAGATTTTCGAAYAGGCCGTCGTCGTTTTTGTTTACTTCCATCCGCCACGGCACCGCGCCCGAAACTGCTCAGGCGCGCGCATTCTACGTACGCCAATCGCTTTTTTAAATCTGTTTCGTTAAGTATAAAATATGTAAAATGATTAATGAACAATGATTGATAATAAAGTTTGGTGAAAAAACTTATCAGATATAGGTAGGCAGGTATCGTGACACGCCATGATAATAATATTATTACTCGTATTTTGTAAGTGCGAATAAATATAACGATTATGACGATAATAAATGACGTCGGATTAAAGTTATTATAAGTTAACAACAACAATTTTGACATGTACATAATTATAAGACACAAAATGTCCAAAAATTTACATATTTATTTTGTATATTAAAATTAACAACATTTTTTTTCTCTTTCTTTCTAATTATAAAAATTAATCCAACGCTAATGGCCCATAGTTGTCGAAGCGGAAACTCTTTGTAAATTTCAAGACCAATAAAAAAAAAAAAAATGACGTTGGGTGCTTTTGTACCTTACGCAATAATAATCGCGACAAAAATACTGATATGTGAACCAAACCGCGGGAAATAGCTGGTGTAATATAGTGCGTGTATACATTTTAGGTTTTATAAAACAATAATGATTTCAATATTCAGATCGCGAATTATTACAGTTGATAGGTATAGTAAGTACACAACAAATAAAAGTGCACAGGTAAATACATTGTAAACAGCAATTTAATATTTTCTACGCAGGATTAATACACACAATAGATAACAATATATTAATTCCTGCCAAATAAAATAGTAGGTATGTAATAGAATTGTATCATTTATTTATAACCGTAAGAAACAAATTATACATGGTATACCAGATACCTACCTAATTAGTTTTATCCGGAAGTATAGCCATGCGTTATTAATATTGAAAAATACGTATACGTATATTTACTGACTACCAGGTATCATTAAATTATTTAATAATACCAATATACAGAATACATTATAAAATATTTTTATTATTATATATACGCTTACCCACTAAGGACACCGAACACAAATTATGATATAAGCTATATAATTACACATATCAAAATACATTTAAAAATRTTGCAACAGATATAAAAACATAAAGTTTTGATATTATTAAAATAAATTGATATCTACTAATTTACTATGAATGATCGAACTAGGTTATTCTAGTGTTCAAATTAAAATACAGTCATTCCACCACTTATCTCATAATAACAAACCTCTTAATTTTTAGAAGAATAAAAAATTGAATGTTTTTTTTATTTTCTAATGAACATGAACTAACATGAAGATAGATCACTTCAAACTGGTGTTACTATATAGTTGTTATCAGTCATGAAACGTGTTCTGAACGCAAGCATTGGCCGGTGTCACTAGTTCCCGGATGGGTGATCACTCGGGTTTTAATGGCAAACCCTCACCACACATACAAGTGTTCTGAACCAAGCGTACCATCTGCAAATACCAATAGCCGTATTTGTCGGGCTTAGGTTTGATAAAAAAAAAAATTTATCATTCAAATTAACTTCGTAGATATTTTCGATTTCCTATATATAGGTTCCCACATTTTAGATATTAAATTATCAGGTTAAACAGGAATACTTTTTTTTTWAACAGTTATTATTTAAGAAAAAAATGTATACAATATACATCATGAAATAAGCAATAAATTCATACTAAATTTTAACACTTGTTAAATTTTATAGAAGCTGAACCTTATAAGAATTGTAATTAGCTATGGTCTTATAAACAAAACGTATAATACATTTTTCCATAAAATTTGCTGTTATTCAATAAATCCATATAAATGATAACGTAGCACATTAAAACTAATAATTTATATCTGAATTTAAATTATATTATATACAGTTTTAAACCAATTGAATGATATTATATCTATAACAAAAAAAAAAAAAAAATTTAATAAACTACATTTCATATTCTGAACCGAGCAATTAATAGGTATATTAAATTCACAATGATTCGATGTGATTTTTATTTAATTATTTATTTTGTGTTTGTGGATACGATAAGTTGTCGAAATAATGTTTTGATTTTTAACTTCAGTAGCTTTTCTGATGGGAAAATGAATGTAGTTGGTACTTGGTGCAATGGGATGGTTTAAACTTACATTTCCGATAGTTTTCAAAAGTGCTGGAGAAAAAAATGAAGGAAAAATGGGCATTCTTACGCAAAACCGATTTTACTAGAGTAAATGATTAGA